TACTGTCAATGTACTTCCAAATGTAATTCAAATTTTCTTTCAAATACTTTCAATGTACTATAAATGTACTTCAAGTTTCTTTCAAATGTTCTCTAAATCTACTTTCAAATGTACTCTACATGTACTTCCAAATGTAATTCAAAAATTCTTTCAAGTATACTATCAATGTACCGGTACTCTGAATGTAATGCAAATTTTCAAATTTACTGTCAATGTACTTCCAAATGTAATTCAATTTTGTTTTCAAATAAACTTTCAATGTACTCTAAATGTACTTTCAAATGTTATTCAAATTTTTTTTTCAAATATACTTTTAATGTACTGTAATGTAATTCAAATTTCCTTTTCAAATATACTGTCAATGTACTTCCAAATGTAATTCAAGTTTCTTTCAAATGTTCTCTAAATCTTCTTTCAAATGTAATTCAAATGAGATAAGCCCTACCTTGTGTACATGTTGGTCCAGTCCAGCCGCTTTTACACCCACAATGTCCATCTACTGGGTCACAATTGCCATTTGTATTAGTGCAATCAGGACATGGTGTCTCACAGTTCCTTCCATAGAAACCTTCATTACAGACTGAAAATTTACATACATGTATAAGAATTAATCAGCTGAGATTTCAAGCTGTCATTTTTCACAACTTTTGAGAACATAGCATAACTATTACAACAAATATAGATTAAATAAAAATGAATGAATACAAACTAATAATGCACAATCTTTTCTTTCATGGCAAAAGTAACTATAAAAGTCCTGAAACTATACAATAATATATCTAAACATTTTGCAGGAATAAATACTGGCTAAAATTCAGATGTAAACAATTCTGACCAAACAATGAAGTCAAAACTCAGATTTTTTCGAGTAATTTCAGCATTTCTACGAGATGTCGTGAAAAGTCAGATTTTTCCAGCAATTTCTGTCATTTTGTCTAGTAAAATGTTAAAAATCAAAGAAAAACACAAATCAAAAAACACTTGGTGTGAATATGTAGGGCATTGAGATATACATGTGCACCAACTTTGAGATAAATTGGAAAGAGCATATCAAGTTAAGAGCAGTGAAAGACGGGCGAACGGAACTCAAACCACTAGCCTTCATCCGTGAAGGCTAAAAATAATTATTATCATGTTCCTTGAATAATTTCTGTAAACAATTTACATATTGCAATATTGAAATTAAATGCCAGTGACAATTTACAGTAAATTATGTGTTGCACTCAAGATGACTATTCATGGCCATACTCCAGGGTACTTACTATTTTCACATCTGCTACCAGTGTAGCCAGCAGGACACTCACAAGTTCCGTCTACTGGATCACAAGATGCCTGCTGTTCACAGTCACATGGTGTGTCACATGCACCACCCCAGTACCCACTAGAACACATACTGTTGCAATGAGCACCTATCAATAAAATCATACATGTAAATCAGATTCAACATCAAACTTTTTTTTAATGAACTCAGAAGTCAGTTACAATTTAATGAAAGTTGGTCATTTCCTTGCATAAGGGGCTCCAGCAAACTTCATTTCGACAAATCTTGATTTGCAAAATATTCTTTTATACTTTATACATACATATAGCTTGGGGTCAATTAAAATTTGCAAATAAGTTATAATTTGTACTATTACATAATTTGGTGTGGATTTACCTTGGTAGCCTGAATGACATATGCATGTACCATCAACTGCATTGCATCCAGCAGAGTTATCTAAATTGCAGTCACAATCTTTCTCACAATTGAAACCATACTTCCAACTCTACAATAAAAAAACACAGTTAGGATACATTTTTAATACTTTAAATGAATTAAGATGTATTATTAAAAGTGTTGAGCTAATTTTGATTATTGATAATCATGTCAATATTTTAATAATTAAAACTACATCAACACTTATGATACAGTGGGATAAAAAACAGATACATCAGTGATAGCAAAGATCTTGTTTTAATAGTTACCCCTATATGAGCTAAATGGTCACCACGTTTTGGTTCACACCATATTTGCGGTTTTGTGTAACATCACTCTTTCACATTATACTACCTGAGTGTGCCTTCTCAGCTGATATGATGTGCTATGGACACACAAAGATTTTTGTGATGAAACTCTGATGGGAATTCACTTATGATAACAGAAAATCATACCCATACATTGATTTTAATAGTGACTTTCAAAAATAATATTTCTGTAGTTACGAGATTTGTAATTTGGTAAAATGAAATTCACATTTTATAGACAAAATCAGTTTAGTTTATGCTTTCAGAAGCTTCCTACAGCCATATACAATTTTTATTTCAACACCTCTCTCCCGAGCAGTCAACAAGCTGACTGAACTTGATTTTTGGAATTACATTTTGATTCCAACAAAAGAAGTCCTATTAACTCAAGAACCTTAAGAAGATAGTACCTAAATGTTCATACCGGTATATACAAAACACCATTTTATACATGGCCAAGATTTCATGGTTACACAAGATGACAGAATTCAATCTTATATATTTTTGTAAATAGGAATTTATTTTTGGAAGTCTTATAATACTGACGTACTATCACTTGTGACTTACCTCACACGTTTCTGCACAGCGATCACCTAACCATCCAGGAGTACAAAGACACTGACCAGATATGTGATTACAAGACGCCCCATTTTCACAATCACAGGTTTTATTGCAGAACAATCCATATGTCCCAGCAGGACAATGTAGAGTGCAGTCATTACCACGCCATCCTTAAAATAAATGTTACAATATTTTTAGTATTATGACAAAGACCAAATAATATGTATAACCACACACTCAGATTACATCATATTTGACATCCCTCTGTAAAATTTTGTAATGATTATAGATGAAAAAATATGTATACTATGATTCTACCGATGAAGAATGATTGATTTATATTATAATCTCCAAAATATCCTTCTCCTAATGACCATTTCTTACTTACCTTGAGTACATATGCACATTCCACTTACTGGATCACATACGCCATCATTTTCACAAACGGTGCATGTCCCTTCACAGTTAAGACCAAATGTGGGAGCTGGACACGAAGTATCGCAGCTAAATAGACAAACCAGATTACATAACAGTTTTAGTAACAGAAAATCATTACTGGGTTTCCCTATAACTGCTGGGCAACGTAGTAAAAAAAGGTGACAGTCATTATGCTACAAATGCGCGAGATATTTGTCCCATATCGACAAAGATGGTAATATTTGCTTTGTCAATAAAACTACACATGGCTTGCTCTGTATATGTAAAGGTGGGCATATTACAGCATGGAGAGCGGTTATCATTACATAAGTGCGGCAGATCACAGCATAAGATGCACTATAATTTAAAGGTAAGAAAACTAACAGAGGTACAAGGCATTATGATCCATTTTGATTATCTGATCTATCAGAGATGCACCTCTAATAGAGAAAGTTTTGTAGGTAGAGAAAATACTTACAATTGACCAGTAAAACCTGGTGGACAGGTACATACGCCAGTCACGTGATCACAGTGTGCACCATTCTGACACTGGCATATACTCATACATCCTTCTCCATACCAAAGATGTGGACATTCCTCTTCACAATTACTGCCATCATAACCAGGTTTACAGTAACACTGACCATTACCGGGATGACAACTGATGGGATGAACATAGAGAGTGTACTTTATAATTCTCTGATATTTCTAGGATTTAAAATACAACAGTGGTACAGGCAGTATTATGCAAAGTCCTCAAACCATCAACAATCCAACCACGGATCAGATCTGATAAAACATTTGTCATGTGCCTTAATATGGTATAGCATCATACCTTATTAGGAGGTAACATGTCCATATAAGGCCTGTGGGAGTTATTCATAAGATACTACCTGTTTTTCCACTTCATTTGCATATCTAAAACTACAAGACAGCTTAGCTGGGACTGAAGAAATCTACATGTACGTACCTTAAACTGTTACTTTGAACACAAGGACAGTCATGTGCACAGTTTTCTCCAAATTTCCATACTTCACACACTGAAACAAACATAATTATTACTTTGAAACAAATTTCCTACTAAGCAATGATAGATTTACAGCTACTGGTGAGATCTTGCATTGAGCGATTTTAGAACATTCAGAAACATGCGACAAGGAACACTTTCTCGTCATTACTGGCAGTGTTGTCACAATGAGGAAGGTTATTTACTGCAATTTCTACTACTTTGTATACATCTCAATTCATTGTCCTGTGCATTGATAACATCACAAGCTGAGAAATGTTTGAAATTTATTGCGAGAAGAATATCATGACTACATTCTACTACCGATAGAATGTTTCATTCAAAAGTGACTTTGTTTGAATAATAACAAATTTTACAATTGAGGAACTAATATCACATTTCAGTTTTTATTAATTACTGTTCAAACCTCATAATTATTGCTTAAAACAATCCGTGATGCATGTAACATATTTAGAACATAGAATATGCAGATTTCAAAGCTTCATAAACAAAAATATTTGGGGTTGAAAACAGTTTTATTTTTTGAGCAATTCCATGGTTATATTAGAGCTACAGAACTTGACAGTGATCAATGCTATGACAAATTGAGACCTTACCACTTTCATCACAATAAGCTCCCTGGAATCCAAGTGTACACCTAGAAAAAGAAGAAACACCATGTTTATTTGTTATATTTAAAAGTAAATATTTGAAGAAACACTTATCAGAACTGTGCATGTGTTCTACTGTTCTGATGTTCTTCTAATTTCTGGTTTGTCATTGACTAAGTTCATACATTGTCAAGGTCTAACAGTACGTTATTGTCACAAAAAGAATACATGTTCAAGCATGACACAAAAGTTTGACAAATGTTTGAATTTACTAGCTTGACTGTAAATGAACAACTAGTCTCTATCAAAATGTAAATATTCATTATTTGTGTGACCCTTGACCCTGAGCATCTGACGACGCTTTTAGAAAAGAGTCATAGTGAACTTTTTTTTTCTGAAAAAAGCAAAAATATAAAGTTATCTGATTACTCAAATAGATTCATTCTGATAATTACTGCACTGTGAGGCTACTGAGAATGTCATTTACTTTATATATATATGACGTTTTTTTTTTAGAGAGGTGTCGCGACTTTTCTATCTACATGGCCTTGTTTATTTATTAACTACATTATTTTTTCTCAGGAAAAACCAATGGAAGGAAATCCTATTTACAGACAGTTGTTGTTGCACAATACATGTATACTGAAGATGTAGGTCTCTGAGACCTTACCTTTTCACTACCCGACTTTCTCGCTCAAATTTGTCTGCACTTTTTATTCTTATATTCTTCAATATCAACAGACAAAATTTGAGTAAATTTTCAGTTTTTACTCAAAAAAATTGGCTATTTTTGTCCCAATCTTCTGAAAGAATGTAAAAACTATAAACAGGTCTATTTTTTAAATTTGTGATGAAAAGAAGGAACTGGCGGTGAAAAGGTTAAACCATATTTTTTTGGAGGGTAACATTTTGGTTCAACATTTCCCCTGTTTTTATGTATTTTTCAATGTTTTTTTAAAAATAATTTTGGACTATCACATTGGTTACAATTTATGTGGGTTTAAAATTGGCGAATGATGATGGAAGTGGACTTTGATCGAAAGGTTTAAGCACTACAGCCACCGTAATGTATATTACACGTGTTTGAAAACTCACATGCAAAATCCATCTTCTATAGCACAGTCAGCACCATTTTGACACAAGCAATCTTCCAGGCAACCAGGACCATATTTACCAGGATTACATTCATCCTCACAGCTTTCACCATGGTAACCAGCTAAACAATGACAGAACCCATTCTCCTTATCACATATACCATCGTTCCTACAGTCGCATATATCAAGACAATCCTGACCGTAATAACCGTCATCACAAGGCACTGAACAAACATCCCCCTAGTCAAAAATACAATAAATATGCATACTTTTTTCCATATTTTTTTTCAATAATTCATAAAATGGTCAAAAATTGAGAAGTTACACTTGTAGATTTTTCAGCACAGCGATTGCAAATATGTATGCCGCTATTTTAGTTTTTTAGGTAAGAGTTCCTCAGGACCCCCTCACCCATAACTCAAATTCTAACCCTGCCCCTCCAGTACACCTCTTCCTTTTTAATTGTATATACTCCTCTTTGAGTCACTTATAATTATTTTCAGGGGGAATATTGAAATACATTCGGGGGCTAAAGTGTTAGGGTTAGGGTTCAGGTTAGGGGTGAGGCAGGTCTTAAGGAACTCTTTCAGTTTTTTTGCTGCCAATTTTTGTTTGGTTTGAACCAAATGGTTGTCCGAATTATTAATGTATCATGTTATATGCATAGTGACATCATTTGAAATATACAAACATCAAAATGCATACCAAATCAAATGCTTCTTGAAAGCGCAAGAAAATTGCATGACAGCTTTTGTTCATACCAAAGTGTCGAAGACTGACTTAGAAAGCATGACTTACCATCCATCCCGGTGTGCACTCGCATGTTCCATCTAATGGACTGCAACCACCACCATTTTGACAGTCGCATAGAGCGGTACAGGCATCACCATGAGTTCCATCTGGACAAGGGGTATTACATCTAGATAATTTATAATACAAGACTTAGTATTTCAAGGATATTGCAAAATATGTATGAAAACAGTATAGTGTGAGTATCAACTGATGCAGAGGGGGGGGGGGCAATGCTATGTGAGCATGTACTGATTTGCAGCATCCTCACAATAACCTTAATATTACATTTCTGTGATCCAACCGCTTGGTGGAGGAAGCCCACAACAGTGAAAAATTATTTCTTTCTCATCATATGAACAAATAATGCACAATCATTCCATATTTGAAATTCACATTTCCTAATAAGGTATCTGGTGCTGCGGGACTTCTCATCCAAAATTTGTATTATATCCTTTTGCACAACTTTCTACAATGAGAGCATTTGGTCAGAGACACGAGTTGAGATAATATTCTAATGCTGGTGCATCAATACTTACAGAGGTGGTTGCCAGCCAGCAGTACATGTACAGGAACCATCTACATAATCACATTCGGCACCATTTTGACATTGACATAGCAATACACAACCAGGACCATAATATCCATATGGACAAGGCTCATCACAAAAATCACCTAATAAAGTATGAACATTTAGTATTAACTCAATGCATAGAAATACACAACCAGGACCATAATATCCATATGGACAAGGCTCATCACAAAAATCACCTAATAAAGTATGAACATTTAGTATTAACTCAATGCATAGAAATACACAACCAGGACCATAATATCCATATGGACAAGGCTCATCACAAAAATCACCTAATGAAGTATGAACATTTAGTATTAACTCAATAAAAAAGTAAAATTAAAGTAAACTAATGTTTGGCATATACCTGTACATAAATCTAACCAATACACAAATCCACATTCAATATTACATTTATTTATTAATTGATTGATTGATTGATTGATTTCCTATGTCTTTAGACACTACATGTAAATATGCATATAGTTTAACACTAGTTTTATTATAGAAATAAATCTTCTTAGTAGTCAATGATGGTACGTCTTCTTACCTCTCCACCCTGGATTACAGCTGCACTCACATGTGCTGGGATTACACATACACATACACACGAGTATAACTCACATATGGACATCACCATACTCCTCATAGCTTACATACATGTATTAGTATCCTTACCTCTCCATCCTGGATTACAGCTGCACTCACATGTGCTGGGATTACACGTATCAGCATTAGTACCACACACTGATAAACAAGATATACCACAGTTATCTCCACACATGTTGTTACTACATGCTGTATGAGAGACAGAAAAATACAAATATTTTATGTCCAAA